TGACCAGACATCAAACTGGTGACCTTCTCGTTTGCAGGACAAGGTCCAACCCACTGAGCCACACCAGTCAGGGCTAATTTTTATGAAATCCAATTTATCATTTTTTATTTCATTTTGTATGTTTTAATGTACTTTTTAGTTTTTACTTACTCCAAGTGCACTAAGATTTTTATCTTAAGTTTTATTATAGAAATGTTATTATTTTATCTTTTTTATTTAGGTCCATGATCTATTTCAATTAGGCAGGGGATTTTTCAATCTCGAATTAAAATAACTTCCAGAAAATATTTTGAAATTCACATCACTGCACAAATAAGGAACATTAACTGGTGCACAAATTTGTCTGTACTCACTTCCTCCAAACCAGTTAAACTGAAGGAAATACAGGTAGAGTTGCTATTTATTATTCAATCGAGTCCCTTCTGGAAGTATGAAAATTTCTTAGTGTTCATTATTATAATTTAGGTAATGTTCTCATTTTCATTTCTAATATTGGTTATTTGTGCTTTTGTTAATTTTATTGTTAAAAAAATTTACATCAACTTTTGCTTGCTTTTTGGTCTCTGGTAGGGGTGTGTGAAAATCTTCCATTTATGAAAAAAATAAAGAAAATAAAAATAAATCTTCCATTTATGATTATTGATATGTCAATTTTTCTTTGTAACCATTTTGCTTTATATATTGATTGGCTGTGATTTCCTGTTTATCCTAATTTTTTTTTGCCTTGATGTAATTACTTTGACATTATTATTATTGCTATAATAGTGTTAATCATAAACAAATGGCCAGATATTTCCCCAGCAAAATGGGTTTATTTGGGAGCAACAATGAATTGAGATTTGGAAAAGGTGATCTAATGGTGAACCATGTTCAAGTCCCCAGAAACAAAGGAGCGGAAACTCTTTTTTAGAGGAGAAGAGGAAGTTAGGAGAGCTATTATAAACAGAGTTCTTATTCTGTTCTGCAATCCACTTAGGGTGTGAGAGCTTGAACTTCTTGCCTCCTGACTTCATTTTAAATGAGGTTTTTGTCTATTAATATTTATAACAGTTTTCTTTAGGTTGATATTTGCTTGGTAAATATTTTCCCATCCCTTTATTTCAATAAGATTTTGTTTTATAGTGTCTCTTATAAGCACTGCATAGCTGGATGTTTTCCTTTTAAAAATACCATTTGAGGCCCTAGCTAGTGTAGCTCAGTGGATTGGGTACTGGCCTTCGAATCAAAGGGTCACTGGTTTGCATCCCAGTCAGGGCACATTCCTGAGCTGCAGGCCGGGTTGCCCAGTTGGGGACATGCAAGAGGCAACCACACATGGATGTTTCTCTCCCTCTCTTTCTCCCTCCTTACCCCTCTCTCTAAAAACAAATAAATAAAACAAAAAAAAATACCATATGAAGAATCTCAGATATGTATTTTACTTGAAAAAAACAACAAACATTATTTTGTGAAGTCATAAGTAATCAAATACACCAATGCATTTCATTTTCATTTTCTTTTATTCCACACTTTCCCTCTGCTTTTTTTTTAAGATTATATTTATTTATTTTTAGAGAGAGGGGAAGGGAAGGAGAAAGAGAGGGAGAGGAACACAGATATGTGAGAGAAATATCAATCAGTTGGTTCTTGCATGTCCCCAACTGGAGACCGGGCCTGCAACCCAGGGATGGAACTGATGGCTCTTCAGTACGCGGGAGGACATTGTAATACGCTGAGTGACACCAGTCAGGACTGTGCTGTTAAAAAACTTTTTATTTTTTGTTTCTTTAAAGATTTTATTTAGTTAGCTATTTTTAGAGAACAGGGAAGGGAGAGGGAAAGAGGGAGTAAATTATTGTGTGGTTTGCCTCTTGCGTGCCCCCTACTGGAGACCTGGCCCTCAACCCAGGCATGTGCCCTGACTGGAAATCAAAGTAGCAATCCTTTGGTTTGAGTATTCCTACTGCATAAATGGTTCGTAGGCTGGCACTCAATCTACTCATTCACACCAGCCAAGGCAGGGCTCTGCTTTTTTCAATTGAAGGTTTTTGAGTGGTAAACTCTCTTCTATGTCTGAACTATAGATATATCATCCTTGGAATGACATTTATCTGGGTTAAATTCTAGGCTGAGAAATTATTTTCCCTCAGTGGTCTCAGGATATAAGTTCTTAATCTTTTGTGTTATGGTTGTTTATAAAAGTTCTATTAATTGTCATCCTTTTGTAGAAAAATCTGTTTGTTCTCTCTGGTAGTTTTAAATTTTTTTTTTCATTCTAGCTTTGATATTCTAATAACCAGTTATTTTATTAATTCAATTCAAACTTACTTTGATGTTTAACTATACTTAACTTTGCATTTAGATGTTGTTATCTTTCACACTAGATAAAGAATCACTGAATCATATTAATTTTATTACAGGATTTTATAGACTTTGTTCCATTGTTTTTTGACATCTATTGCAGAGGAAAAGGTTGACTTGGTATTTTTTCCATTGAAGATAACCTGTTTTTTTTTAAATAGAAGTTTCCTTTATTTTTATCTTTAAAGTTCAACATATTTGCCAATATGTAAGTTTTGTTCTTGATTTTATCTGTTGATTTTTCCTTTTTATAAATGAGGCTTTAAAAATTATTTTTTCTTTAGTCATTTTTAAATTGAAGTATAACACACATACAGTAAATCATGTAAAGCAAGTGATGATTTTTAATTTATATATGCACACCTACAACCACTGACCAGAGTATTCCTACTGCATAAATGTCTAATCACTATGTTTTACATATGGAGCTATCATCATATGTCAACTGTAATTGAATAATAAAATATTATTTTTTAAAATATTTTATTTGTTTATTTTCAGAGAGAGGATGGAAGAGAGGAAGAGAAACATCGATGTGCAAGAGAAACATCAATCGGTTGCCTCTCACATGCCTCCAATTGAGGACCTGGCCCACAACCCAGGTGTATGCCTTGAATGGGAATTGAACCAGCAATCTTTCGGTTCACAGGCCAGCACTCAATCCACTGAGTCACACCAGCTAGGGCAAAAATTATCTTAAAGAAGATATTCCTCATGCCCCTGAAGATTTCCTGATGTTGCTTCCCAATGTATTCATTACAACATTTGACTACTCTGAATTTTTGTCATTGTTGATTACTTTTGCCTTTTTTGGAACTTCATAGAAATGGAATCAATTATATTGTATGTACTCTTTTATATCTGCCTAATTTCACTTAATAAAACAGCTTTCACCCATGAAAGTGCATCTAGCAATGGATTTACTCATGTTGTTGCATGTATCAATAGTTTGTTCCTTTTATTGCCATGTAATAGTCCATCATATAAATATACTACTGTTTATTTATCCTTTTTTTAGTTGACAAGGTTTCGGGTTTCCATTTTTTGACTATGGTGAATAAAGATGCTATGAGCATTCTTGTACATACCCTTTTGCGGACATATACATACACAGGTGTGAATTGCTGCGCTTTAAGGATGTATGTATTTAGCTTTAATAGGTACTGCCAAACCAAATAGGTACTTCCAAAGTGATTAAGCCCTTTTACACTTGTACACTCATACATGCAGCACACTGTGTGTGTGTGTATGCTAGATGCAATACATTCTTGTCAACGCTAGATACTGTTGGTCTTTTCTGGGGTGTGGGGTGAAGTGTCTGACTTCTTTCACTTAGCAAAATGCAGTTGTGATTCACCCATGACTTTGTGTTTACATATAGTTCATTAGGTTTTATTGCTGAATAGTACTCCATTGTTTGAATGTACCAGTTTGTTTATCAAGTTGAAGGGCATATGAGTTGTTCCCAGCTTTTAGAGATTATGAATAAAGTTATTATAAACATTCATATAATGCTTTTTAAATGAACATACATGTAAATTTTTATTTCTCTTGGTAAATATTTAGGAGTAGGATGTTAGGTTTTATATTAGGTATATGTTTGGCTTTGAAAGAAACTTAAACTGTTTTCCAGTGTGACTGTAGCAGTTTGTAGCCAGTAATGCATTCGAGTCTAGTAACTTTACATTTTCACTAGCACTTGTGGTGATAGGGATTTTTAATTTTAGGTATTCTAATGGGGTGTGCAGTGTAGTCTTTTTAATTTTACACTGCATCCTAAGAATACTGTTATTTGCATTTCCTTGATGAGTAATGAGTTGAGTGCCTTGTTATATATTTATTGGCTTCTTGTGAAGTGCAATTGTCTTCTTTTGCCCATTTTTTTTTATTGGACTGTCTATCTTTTTATTGCCATGGAGGAATTTTTAAAATATATATATATTCTGGAATGAGTCCTCTGTCAAGTGTATGCATTGTGGCTTATCTTTTCACTTTCTTAATAGTGTCTTTTAATGAACAGAGGGCTTTAATTTTAGTGATGGCTGTAGCAGGCTGACTAATGGACTTCCAAAGATGTCCATGGCCTAATTCCTGGAAACTGTGAGTATATTACCTGACATGACAAAAAGGACTTTGCAGATGTAGTCAAGTTAAGGATCTTGAGATGGGGAAATTATCCTGGATTATCTAGGTGAAACCTATGTAGTCATGGGGACCTTATAATAGGAAGGGTTGGTGGTCAGAGTCAGAGAGAAGGCAACTTGGTGACAGAAGCAGAGTCAGAGAGAATTTTGAAGATGCTCTGCTGCTGTCTTGAAGATGGAAGAAGGGGCCATGAACCAAGGAATGCATGTAGGTTTTACAAGCTCAAGGCAAGGAAATGCATTCTCCTCAGAGTCTCCAGAAGCAACAATGCCCTCTTGACGCCTTAATTTTACCCAACTGAGTCTTGTGATCTCCAGATCTATGAGATAATAAATTAGTTTTGTCGCTAAGCCAGTGATAACAAAACAATGGCTTATCTTTAATTTTATTACAATAAAAAGCAATTTATCAATTTAACTTTTTGTTAGTACTTATTGTATCCTGTTAAAAAACTTTTGCCTACCCCAAGTTTGTGAAATTACTGTATGTTTTTTTGCAGAAGCTTATTGCTTTACCTCATATTTAGACGTATGATAGATCCTGACTACATTTTGGAGTACGGTGTGAGGTAAGTTCCATGTTCAAAGTTCTGCCAGGTCTCATGGCCTTCTCCGGAACGGTTTTATTCCCTGGAATCGTCCTGTGGCTCCTTCTTCCTGAGCTTTTAGGAAACGCGGTACTTAAACCACCATCCTTGGTCCACCTTTTATTCGCAGGGTTTGTCGTTGGAGGCTCCCTGAACGCATGCGCTTTTGACCGGAAGCAGGCCTGTGAGAAACTACAATTCCCAGAAGACCATGCCAAAAGAAAAAAAATCTTGTGGTGGGGGAGGAGGGAAATGGCTTGAAGGCTCGCGAGAGAACGAGGTTGAGGCGCTTGCGCGAAGTGGGTGGAGGGGGGTGGAGTGAGTGAGGAGGAAGAGGAGGAGGTGCCGTCCCACAATACCAGGCGGGAGGGCGGGTAGGCGGTTTGTATCCGGGCTGTGAGGTGCTCGGAGCCTCCGCGGACCTTGCTGCTTCTGTGTCTTTAACGCGAGAGGAAGCGATGCGGAGGGGTGGAAAATGGCAGAGCTGCAGATGTTACTAGAGGAGGAGATCCCGTCTGGCAAGAGGGCGCTGATAGAGAGTTACCAGAACCTGACCCGGGTGGCGGACTACTGTGAAAACAACTACATACAGGTGAGGAGCGCGGGCGCGCGGGTGGGCGCTGGGCCGACGACCCGCCGCTGGACGCCCGAGTGACCAGCCCACTGGGCGGGGTGGGGAACTGCCTTAACCTCAGCGGCCGCCTCAGTCCCAAGCCCCAGCCAGGGACAGAGCAAGTGGCCAGGCTCAGGGAGTCGAGCTGCGTTACTACAGGAAGTGGTTGTGGTGGTTGAAACCGATAGAAGCGGAGAGAGAAAATGGGCGAGGGAGTCGGGAACCCGTCGCAGCCCGGAATCCCCCTGCGGGCTCCGCGCCCCGAGTCGCGCTGCCCCTCAGCAGCCTGCAGTTCCCTGGGCTTCTGTCCGGAGACTCAGCTGGCGCCCCATTGCCTCTCCGTTCGGAGAGGGGTCTAGGACCGAGGAGAGAGGGGAGAGGAAAGGGCAGGGACGAAGCGCAGGGAGGAGCAGCAGAAAGGAGAGGAAAAGCGGGGTGTGTGTCGGGGGAGGATGGGGTGGGGGCGATTATGTCAGTTTAACCCAGAGGGTGTGTCTTTTATTTATTTATTTAAAAAATTTGTCATGAGTCACATTACACAGACCTCCCCGAGGGAGAGGAGGAAGCGAGTGGGGAGTGAGGGAAGGCGTCTCAGAAGTTAATCTCAAAATTCCTGTAATTGAAGGTTTGTTATATCTGCCTGCCGGTCCGTTTTCAAGTCGGGTTTTTTCCCATCTCATCATTTTCACTTCCGTCCCACCATAATGAATGTCTAGAGGTTGTTAGGGCTATCGTCATTATAAAACAAAAATGATTTAATTACTTTAAAAATGTCTTTAAAACTCTTTTCCCCCAAGTTCTTGAACTGTTGGTTTCATAAGTAACTTAAAATATAATGGTGTGATCGTCGGTTGCTTATTTTCTGAAGGTTTCTCTCCAACTTAAGTAGATGTATAGAATTTGACTTCAGATTGATTACCGATCATGTGTAGTCTTAGAACCATAACTAAAATATGTTATTCTAGATTTATTAGAAAAATTGTGGCAGATAATTGTTTTTCTTTTAATGATTGAAAGTTAGCTATGGTGTGGTAGTTGGTAGATCTTTGCGTAAACCGGCAGTTTGCAGAAGCAAAAAAAGTAGCAGAGTCCTTTGTATCAATGTAAAGGCACCAGAAATTTGCTTGTAAGTGGTAAGGCATGACCCAAACATGTTTTGAAAGATTAGGGTTATTGCAATTCAGAACTAAAGTATTTACAGAGGGCCTCCCATGTGATTATCATTTTTAAGAACCAGTAGTTTCTGGGTTGACAAATGCTTTTCCTACTTATTTTTAGAAGGCGAGTCTGTTTTCAGAATATTTTGAATATTTCTCAATTTCCATATTAGTAACATTGTATCTTCAGTAGCATTACTAGGAATTTATCTCATAATTTTTTTTCAAGCTTTTACTTTAGGAATTTTACTGATAAACTTGTTGAATGCCTGCTACATCTATTGTATTTCTTGGTTTTGCAAACTTAATATTTAGCCTTTTAAAAATACTCTAAAATTCAGTAGAAGTGTGGATGTAGTTCTGAAATAGAAAAGTGATCTTATAGTTTATTGATACTACAAATATACAAGTTTTATTCAACCAACATGGAAAGCCTTAACATTGAGGTGAATCTCAATTTGCTGAAGGTTTTAAGGGTTTTGAAAATCAAAAAGATTGATTGCAGAAAGTTAAATTGCCCCCATTCCAGAAGTAATTTCTTTATAGAAATCAGCAGATAAGAACTTAACAAGGGGTGGCTTCTTTTTGTTTTGCATGTTGGGAAATCTGACAATAATATGGTGTGGTAACTACTAAGTATTGGCAAATTCAAACATGTTTTAACCTGTCTGGTGACTATGTCCTTTTCAGGTAATTGTCTGCTATGAAGCTTCTCTCTCTCTCACTCACTCACTCATCTCTTTTCTTTTCTTTTCCCTTCCTGCAATCATCATGTAATTTTGAAGCATTTTAGACTTATTGGTAGTATCCCCAATTAAGTCATGATAATTCTCATGTAGTCTCTTACTTTTAAACATGTCAATACCAGTTAGTACCATGGTGCCAAGAGCCACTATCAGTGGTTCCATTTTTTTTTTTTGGTGGTGGTCCTAAACTTTACATCAGTCAGTATTCTGATTTTAGTGGGGTAAAATATGTTTATCTTAGTAGCCTTTTATCTATCTATCATCTTTATTGATTGACTGTAGTAAGAGAGAGGAAGGGAGGGAGAGACAAAGAGAAACATCAATTTGTTGTTCCACTTATCCACGCACTCACTGGTTGATTTTTGTAGGTGTTCTGACTAGAGATGGAACCTACAGCCTTGGTATATGGGGACAAACCCCCAAACTGCGCTACCTGGTCAGGTATCATAGTAGTAGCTTTTAAGTTTTTGGACTATGTGATGCACTAGATGCCTTCCTGAGGCTAAGACAGGCTTAGATAATAATGAAGGCTTTGTGGAAGTTGTTGTGGTAGCTGACTTTGTGATGTGTTGGGCTGCTAACTTTGGTGCAATGAATAGGGAACCAAGAGTGCTAGAAGTACCCATATGAATGTTGAGATCTTTCTGTATCCCTTCTATGACTCTTACTGGGTTATAATCAACACCTTACATAAATATGTCTCCTCTCAGGGAAAATATGTACGTGTGTTTTTCGGAGTATAAGACTATAAGATGCACCCCTCCCCCCCATTTGGGAGGAATAATGGTTGTTAATGCTGCTGTTGAGTTCTGTTTACATTTATGTTGGTGAAATATTATGTTCTTTATGTTATTAAATATTTTACCACATTTTTTGCTTCAAAAATTTTCCCCCTATTTTCCTCCTCTAAAACCTCGGTGCGTGTTATGGTCTGAAAAATAAGGTAGTTGTGTTTTGAGGATTTTTTTTATACCCAAGGCGAGTTAAGTTACTGCATGGGTGATTTTTATCCTGAGACTTCAGTTTTCATTTTGTTTGTTTTCCTACAGTTTGGAAGTACAGTCCTGTTAGGCTAAGGTGTTCAGTTGCCAAGTTCTTTTGGCTGTAATGCAGTTGAGTCCTTGAGTACTTCATTAGCTCTTTGGGTCCTTTTGACTTTAATTATTAAATTGTATTATTAGCCCTGGCTGGGTGGTTCAGTTGGTTGGAGCATTGTCCTGCACACGGAAAGGTTGCTGGTTCTATCCCAGTCAGGGCACACACATAGGTTGCAGGTTTGATCCCCAGTTGGGACATGTGTGGGGAGGCAATCAATCAATGTTATAGATGTTTCTCTCACATCAATGTTTCTCTCTGTCTCTGTCCTATTTTCTCTCTCTAAAATGAATAAACATATCTTTGGGTGAGGATTTAAAAATATTAAAATAAAATCGTATTATTGATGGCAAAACTTCTCCAAAAAGTATACTTACTTAAATATGACAAGATTTTTGAAAGTTATGAGGAAATGATATTTAAAATAGAAAGTGTTTTTTATATAGAGAAAAAGCTGCTTTTTTCCATCTTTTGGTTGACTTGACCACTTTGAATTTTTTTTTTTAGTAGTTTATGTCAAGGACAGTTGCTACTTAACTTGAACACACTTATTCATCTAGCCAGTTCTCTTTGCTCTATTTTAGTGTACACAGTGCCTTTATCATGGGAACTATTTTGGGGAGTAGGAAGCAAGCAAAGCTAAAAGGAGTAGAAACTGCTTAAGAAAGATTTTTGTGCAAATTGCTAGGTTGAGTAAGGACAGAAAGGTCTTCCATACAGCTAAACTTTTTAATTTAATTTAAATATTTGGCCTGGCATTCCCCCAATAAAAGCTTTATTTGGGTTAACAAGTATATTCTTGTTATACTGTATAAAGGGGATCTCATAAGTGGGTTAGTTAATTTAGCTTGTTTTCTTCCTCCTGTGATGCTAACTTATGCTCATTTGCTGATTATGCCTGTTTAATCTTGGAGGGCAGGTAATTTTTGTGTAGGAGCACTTTGGTAAAAGCTAACGTTTCTGGTAATGTACAGTTTATGCCAATTTATAAATGAAGTCAGTTATTCCATTTATTTATCTATCTATCATGAGCAATTTAAAGGTTCAGAGACATTAAATACCCCTAAAGTTGCATATCTCATGAGAGATAATGCCTGGAATCAAATTGAGATTTTCTGATTCTATATTCTACTTAATGAATACTGAGTAGGGGGCTTACTGTAGGATAGGGGATAAAAAAAGATAGTGGGAAGAGGGGAATAGGGAAGAGAAGAGGGTGATATATAGCAATTGCTTATATTTATTGAGTACATGCTTTATTACAGCCTCTGCAGGTTGATTTGTGTTAGCATTACTCCTTATAAAAACTCTCCATGATAAGCAGTATTCTCTTACGGATCAGGAAGTTAGGATTCAAAAAAGTTAAATGAGTTTTGTTTGGTCATATACTTAGTAATTGGCATTCAGGGTTTCTGCCCAACTTGGACGTGCTCTACAGGTTCCATGGCTGTGCTCTTCCTGTTGCACTCTCTAGCTGTGAATGAATCTGGAACTCAGACTACTTTAGAGATGTCATGGAATAAGTAGACTCTTTTTAAAAAAGATTTTATTTATTTATTTTTAAACAGAGGGGAAGGGAGGGAGAAAGAGGGAGAGAAACAACTTGTGGTTGCCTCTTGCTCTCCCCTTACTGGGGATCTGGCCCGCAACCCAGGCATGTGCCCTCGACTGGGAATTGAACCGACAACCCTTTGATTCATAGGCTGGTACTCAACCACTAAGTCACACCAGCCAGGATGGAATAAGTAGACTTTTGTTTAGCATGTCTGGGAACCTAACTATTTTACCATTGTTTCCTCTGAGTTCCAAGTTGCAAATATAAGAACCAATATTTTTGTTTTTTGGGGATGATAGCTTTGGCGCTTGAAGTGCTGAATTTATAGGAATCATAGGCTGAACTCAGTGGATCTTTCTCATTTTGTGCATCATTGCCTGCTTTTTTTCTATCCTGATTCAGCTTTGCAATTGTGGTAAGAAAACT